GGACCCGTCGTATTATTCTCTGTCTTGTTCTCTGATGACGTTTATGTATTAGTCAACATCTTATCTACAGGGCTGTGCGTAGTGAATGCAATCCGGAATCTTCGAAATTCGAAAATAACTGGAAAATCCGGATTTTCCAGAGTTTTATAAATCCGGTTTTTAAGACTCAAATCCGGATTTTTCGGATTTTAGTGAAAATTGAGTTCAATGGATAATATTTTGCATTTATCCACAAATTTTCATTCTAACTAATGAGTAGTTAGGTGTTACGTACTCTAATACGCAAATTCGAGCAATATTTGAATTGGATAGTTAGATATACAGCTCATAATTTTTTTATAAAATCATTAGACAGTCAAGACACGGTGTCTGCCAGGCAACTGGCAACGTCACTGAAACGGAGAATTAAAGACAGGTGACTCTATAATATTGTCGGTGCCTTACAATACTTACCCAACCCTAATCAATGTTTAAATGAGGCTAAGTAGGATGAAGATTAGTTTAAAAACCTACGTATGATGAAATTAAAAATTTGATCTATCAAGCTGCAACCCTGGATGTTGACAATTGCACGACCACGTTGATTAATACGAACTCTATTTCAGAAACTCTGATCCATCGCCGCTCAGTTTTAAAGAAAAGCTCAATCGTCAATTTTCTCTTGCAAGTGTGGGTAGTGATCATCAACACCAGCTTCATTTGAAAACTGTGGAGGTTGTGGAGAACTCCTAAGATCTAAGATCTCGTTTTTTAAAAAAAGGGTGACTAATATATGTGTACTAAATTATATATATAGCCCTTCTATAGCTTGCTGAGCGACCTTGAGCGTCCTCATACGGCCAGCAGTAAAGGACCACGTTTCAGATCCATAAGTCACCACTGGCAACACGCACTGGTTGTACAGTCCCGTTTTTAGGTTTTGAGATATACTTGAAGAGAAGATGTGTCGTAATTTTCCGAACGCTGCCCATCCGAGTTGAATCCGTCGATTGACCTCTCGGTCCAAGTTGGACTTACCTAGTCGGATTAGTCCGCATACGCCAGGCAAAGTGGCAGATTGTACTCTTTGGTCTTCTGTACAATCTTCCGTAGGATATGTATGTGGTCTATGGTACTGAAGTCTATTCGGAAACCGGCTTGCTTGTAACTCCAGCTGAAAGGTTTCGGGATTTTTCGACAGAGCGTTGACTTCATTAGACTAGACCTCTCCAACTTAACGTTTAGGTTCAGTGTGCCTCTAACCATTCACTGATCGCTGCCAGTTTTCAACCTTGCGATCACTGAGACATCACTGTACAGTTGCCGTGGAGTCGTCATAATGAATTCAATCTTATTTTTTGCCAAACCATCGGGGCTCTACCAGGTCCAGTTTCTGTGGGACAACTTCTGAAAGAAAGAGTTCATCATAAAGGGTCCCTCTTTCTCCATGAAGTCGGCCAGCTGCTGGCCCCTTGGGTTCCGTTGCCTTATCCCAAATTTCCCTACCTTCAGCTCACTGATTTTTCTTGTGCCTAGCTTTGCGTTAAAATCTCCCATTAATACTGTATAGTGGGTTTTGGAGAAATGCATGGCTTTAGAAATATCCTCATACATTTCCTCCACCTCCTCATCGGGATGTGCCGACGTTGGTGCATAAACCTGTACGACCTTCAGTGAATACCGTTTGGTGATTCTGAGTATAAGGTATGCAACCCTCGTCGACACACTCCCAATCTTTATAAAGTTGTCAACCAGAGACTTGTGGACGATAAATCCAACACCTCCTTGGGACAGATAGTTATCCTCCCGTTGATAGAACGAGTTGTCGGATTCGAGAATCACCGTGTCCTCCTCTCTTCAGACCTCGGAAAATCCTATAGTATTCCAACGCAACTTGTCTATCTCTTCTTCCAGCTCCAGGATCTTCTCGTCAGTCCTCAGGGTGCGTGTGTTGTAATTTGCCAGATCGAGTCGTTTTAGGTAGCAACTGAACCTCCACCGGAGATTCTTAACACCCTAGCACATGCCCCGCCGTTACCATGGTCGCCGCCGTAGCCTGGAATAGCGGGCCGCTGGGGACTGAGGGCCGTCTATTTGCGTCGTTTCTCATGTTAGGTATATTGCCATAGTTGCCACGCTTGGCGAGTTGGCAACCGCAGTTTTTTGTTGTACAGTTGCTGCTATCAGGAAGATGCTGCTGCCCATCTCCTGCCTGTTTCCCTCTGTCGCTATTCTTAACCGCCACTACACGGTATACCACCACTACACGGTTTTTGTTTATTTTGGTTGATTTTATTCCGTCGTGTCTGAATAAATGCAGATTTTAAATGATTTATGCTGTTTTGTTTTAGTTTTATCAAATCACCTTAAAACTTCGAAATATCCGGATTATCCGGATTTTAATCATAGAAAAATTCAAAAATCCGGATTTCAAAAATATCCGGATTTTGCAATCTCTAGCTGTGCGTAACTTCAAAAGTCAAAAAATCATGAAAAATTACAATTTGTATAAGGTTATGATGAAGCAATAAGATAAATAATTTAAAAAATCAAAAACCCGATTGCAAAAACGACAATTTAAAAGTAATGTAGGTACTTAAAATACCGAAATAAGAATGAGTAAAGAAAACAAAGTTAAATAAAACTATAAACAAAGTAAACTCTACTTCGGTTTAACAGACTTTATTATGAGCTGAAAGCCTAAGTAAAATAGCCTAACTTATGTATTAAGTTTAGTAGCAAGCGGAACCCATTAATTTTCTTTCGGTATTTAATTTGTAATTGGGTCCCGTCTGCTACTTTACTTAATTGTCTTTTTTGCAGTCGGGTTTTTGATTTTTTAAATTATATATCTTATTTAAGACTTTTTAGTGTCCCAGTCTATTGTGTAAAGATTTTTTGACGATTTTTCAACTATGCGACTTAGAAATCTCGACGTATATTTCTTGAAATAAACGGCGATTATTTATTACATTTTTCTTCAAAATTTAAAAGTATACGGTTCAAAATTTGTTGAATATAATTTATTTTTAAATTTAAATGTGATTAGGTGACGGATATTAATAACTAAGTGTTCTTATATAATTAACATTGCAGATTTTATAAACCAGTTATCAAAAACTTTATAAACCAATTTATTATTCCTAAATAAATTTAACTATACAACTTATATTCAATATTCGATAGGTTTGGGTTTTCTTAATTAATGTATTAGGTAGGAACTATTTTTCGTCAAAAAACCGCCATTTTGTTTATTTAAAAAAGTTATCTGAGAACACTTGGGTTTTTAAGACGAATAAAACGATACCTTAATTATTGAAAACATAGCACTTACATATATTTGTAATCCCCTTTTAATTTCTTTCATTTTGATATCCTATTGGATAGGTTTAGTTATTTTTTTTATTAACGTATTATTATTTTGCGCAAAAATTCCGCCAATTTGGTTATTTAAAAAAAATGCTATCTAAGAACACTTGGATTATTAAGACGAAAAAAAACGATACCTTAATTGTCGAAATCCATCCAGCCGTTTGAAAGATACGAGGTAATCAAGAAATTTACAAACATATAGTTGACGCCACGAGTCGTGAGTACAGATGAACTATGGTGGGGGTTGATCCAGCGTAGATACACTGTCAGCCAAAATTATTTGGTACCTTTGTTATTTCAATTCATAATTGAATATTTTCGCTGACTTTTTTTTCGAAATTCTGAGTTAACTCCTTTAAATATACGCCGTACAGTAGCTACGTAGATATTAGTCGCCTCAGCAGTCTGTTTCTAAACGTCTATCATGTTTTTCGCAATACCTAATTTTTTCATGAAACAAAACACTAAATAGACCATTTGTCGGGATTGTCTATTTAACACCGAACTCTTTCTTCTCTGCATATTGAGACCAAAATCTGAATGCTCAAATTTGACAAAAAAACAAAAATAAATATCAAAAACAGTTGAAAACAAGAAATACACAAACAACAATTAACAACAAGGTAACACTACAATTAATAAAAATAAACTAATTAAAAAGTTGTCACTAAAATTGCTCTCAAGTGTACGGTAGTCGAATGATACGTGCGCACCCAATAGACGACGAGAATCAGCTGACGAACCAATCACGTTGAGCGTCAGCGTTGTCAACGTCGTATCGACCAATAAAAAGTGTGCTCACGACTTGTGCCGGCAGTTATACAAGATCGCGCGAAAAATATAGCCCTTCCTTGGCAGACGGGTAAAAACCGAATGCGAAGGATCACACGATTCGACAATTTTAATGACGATTTGTCCTGATCCATTCGCATTTGTTCGGACGGATTTCTTCGCAGTTTGTAGACACACTATAAAAATACACGACTCGTTAAGGCGACACCGCGAAAAATGCACCTCCTTTTATCGAATAGTATAGGACTATTACACTACTAACAAAAGTGGAATTTTGATATAGGTAAATTCATGTCTTTATCTTGAATTTGATTGTTCAAAAACACGATTGTATCATTTTGACTCTATCATAATTATTTGCGAATATACCTCTAAAAATCACTATAGTTGAAGTTACAACGAAATTACTTAATCTATATGCTTGGAAATCACTCAAATATATTCATAACATCAATATTCATAATTTACTTGCTCATTATTTTGATTACTTAAATCAATAATTTTATAAAAAATATTTTAAGATTCTGACAATTTCTAAGCGGTTATATACGTCGCGGGCGCTACGCAATTTTAGACCTTATGATGGCGTTTTTTTAAGTTTTTATAGAAATTATGTATTCACTCGAATCAGTACGGCGATAGCCTGAAGTCACTTTTTCGAGGTGTCGTCTTAAAACCCATTCATCATAATAAACGTGAAACTAGAGAATGTCGACAAATCAATATAAAAGTGATTTAAAAGGAAAAGGTTGTAGGCATAATATATACGCATGTTGTTCCGTTGGCTGTGTGGTGTATGCTTTATAGCATTTAATGTTTGTTCATTGTTAAGTATCATAGGTGCTAGAACCATAGAGATGCGCATTGAGCAGGTCGCATGTAACGTGCAACCGGTGGGCGGCGGGCGCACAATGGTATGAAAGCGATCCTGGTCGCGCGGTGTCGGGTCACACGATGGTCACGGTCTGGCAGTGCTCACTGCTCGGTGTAACTGTGGTATATAGGTGTGCGTGACGGCGGCGCGGCCACTGTGTGGTTAGCGCCGCGCCACAGCACACGCGTGGCTCCTGCACCCTGCACGCACCACGTGACGTCACACCACGCTGCGACACGCACGCACTCACCACGCAAAGCATGCTACCGCGAGAGAAGAGCGACTACGTTTACAAAGTGCAGGAGAAGCCCTTTATCGAAAAGGTTACCAACTACCGTCAACGGCATAGTTAACTTTAAAGATACGGTTTCGACGATAACAACAAATAAAATTTTTCGTAAGGTTAGGTATGAAGTGACATTTGTTTTATACTCTAGAGACAAATGGCGGTGGAGAGCCGCGCGAGCGAAGCGCAGGAGGGGAATGAGAGGGGGGAGAGTCAAGAGCAACAGGACAGCGTGGAGCCTGCGCCGACAGAAGTGCGCGTGCTCACGCTCGACCACGGCGAGCATCAGGACGCTACCATCTACCGGTATGAGGTGGTTGAGTTTTAACATTAAAGCGGCAACAAGCTTAAATCCAACCCATTTAAGGCTACTGCACACCAAACACAATGTCAACAAATTTTCATCAAAAGGCTACAGATGCGTTATCATTATCATTGTCACTTTTGAAGACTAATATAGAATGCCTCACAACTTGTTATTATGCTGGTACTACAAATACGGTAGAGGTTGCACTGCTGTTTAGCGGCAGGAATACAGAGCACCACCACAGATTAATTAATAGTTACTACGTAGTATTACTGCAGCAAGTACGGGTAAATTATGTGCTATTTGTGCTGTGTTATGGAATCCAAGCCAATGCATTGTTTTAAATGATTTTATTATGACACTGAATATCTTTTCTTTGCTGTTCAAAACCCTGAAAAAGCTGAAGGCCAATGAATTAACTTTTATTAGCCGACTTCAAAAAAGGGGAAGTTCTATGTTCGACTGTAGGTATGTATTTTTTTATGTATGTTTACCGATTCCTCCGTCAATTATGGACAAATTTTGTATTTTTTTAATGAAATATAATAGAATGTATTTTATTCAATACAATTAATTATATAACACCTATTTAAAGTCACGCACAACGAGGATGGATGTAGAAGTTAATGGCCAACAAAATCCACCTAGCATCAGGTGGACTAAGTGCTTTGTCACCCTTTTCCTATAAAAATAAAGTTGCCACGCTGACATGAGAGTGCAAAATTTTTATTTTTTTTTTGAATTACTACAGTCTTAATTTTGTTGGAATCACATAGGTGTAAACCTTTTGCCATTAATGGTCAGGTAAATTTATATGAAAGACACTGTGTAACTTATAGTATGTAATAATTATTTATCTACTTTAGATCTAGTAATAATTCACTATCTACTTTTTCTGTTTATTAGTAATATTATCTTACTAAATTGTGGAAACATAAAAAAAAGCATATAAAGTAAATATAAAAATAGAAGTTTGCCTCCTCAACTATACGGGTTCCCGAAACTATAAACAGATACCGAATGTTATGTTTTGTACATGTAAAAAATGTATTATATTAATGGCATATGCTATGCACCAATAGCGTGTAAACGTCTAGTTGCAAACGGTGTTCTGAACATATTATTGACAATTTTCTGTATGATGTATTTCGGTGAGTGTGCGCAGGAATTGCACCCTTTAATTCCACCCTCTCCTTTCCACCATCAGACGACCAGGCGGTCGGCGGGTCTTCACCTGTTTGTTGTCGATATTCCACGCATTAGAACCGAACGGTTTGCTTCGACTTTTTAATGCGTGCAGCAAAGGAGTGTAATCACAGAAATTGTAATAATAAGACAATAAAAATGAGTTAGCGCTCGATTACTTCCAAAACCGATGTCACCACATCTTACCGTATTATAAACATATACAATGCACAATGATATCTAATGTTTCACATTACATTGCTTGGCGAGTTTGTCAACGTCGCGTGTGTCGCGATAGAACGGTAGAACAAAAGCAGCAATGGTAATTGTACAATACGAAAAGTAATAAATGAGTTTGCAAAGGTAAATGTCAGAGTAAAGTATTCATCTAGATGAAAATTAATTAAAACAATAATTAGTAAATAATCAACTTACTGATGAAATGTTATGCCTTTATTAGTTCAATTACACATCCTTGATGAGTTTTCACAACTGATTATGCTGCAGTGCACCATTATAAATTTATAATAACAAAAATTCACGTACGACGTTCCCCGCACAACTAAATCACAAAATGGTTATGTTCTTCAACCCATATAAACGGCGACAAGGTGACGCGTCTATGCGACTTTTATTGTTTTTTACGATTTCTGTGACAAGAGTGAATGGGCATTTGTTACGCTAGGACAGTGCTGCAATCTAAAGCTGCATCATCACTTACCACCAGATAGGATAGTGGTCAAGCACTAGCGTATAATAAGTAAAAAAATATGTTTGTAAACTGCCTACGCTACAGGAAAATCATAGTGGTGGTAACGTTTTAAAAAAAAAACTGTCCTCGAAAATAATATGCTTTAAAGATGGTATTTTAACCATGTGAAACTATCAGTAAGAACCGTAGAAATAACTAATACATATGTAGAGTTAAAAATAGTTGTTACTTCTATAAATTCTACTACTAACTTCACTTAAATCCCGCGACATATAAGATGTAGAAATTTAAACAGAGTAAGTAGGTACTAGAGCTATCACAAGCTGTGGATTGCTATGCTTCAAAAGAAATTAGTTTTCCTATTGCACAATAAAGCAATCCAGTAGCGTGTCACGCCTATATTACGTAGTACTATGTTTATTTTGTAAAGATAAGGCAAACTTATGTGCACGTGTAGTTGATCTGATTCCTAAGTTTCCCAATAGGTATTGGACAAATTTAATAAATTGTTAGATACCTATATTCTATTTGAAAATCAATTCAGAAAGACGGTAGAAACCATAGACCATGTACATATTTTACATTCCCGCCGTTGAATTATATACAAGGCGACTGAAGAGTAACATTACGCCATTTAGTCTTGCGTATGTGGATTATTAAAAAGCTTTTTAATTCCGTCGAAATCGGGGCGTTGCTACAGTCCCTTTAGCGGTGCCAAGGTGACTCGGTATATCGAAGTGCTGAAGTGCTTGAACAATAGGCGTACAATGGCTATCCGAGTACAGAATCGGAGTACGAAACCTATCCAACTGCAGATAGGTGTAAAACAAGGTGACGACGTCATTACATCCTGAAACTGTTCACTGGTGCATTGGGAGACGTTTATATCTTTTAGTTGTTAACAGAATAGCGCGAGCTCGTATCGTACGAATTATGCTACACGATGTAAAAACAACCAATTTCCACAGTTTTGAGGGACATAGCCACATGACCCCTTCCTCCCGTTTACCGTTCTTCGTTAATATAAATTGTTTCTGCTTTACGTAACTGCTTTAGAGACTTGTGAAAGCCGTTACAGCCTAAAAAAGTACAAAGTACAATGCTGAACATCGAACCCCCATAGATTCCCTAACAGGAGGGACGTCGCCAGAGTTGCTGCGACTGGCGGCAGGATTGGCAACCGCAGTTTATTTATAATTTTGAGTTGTTATCTGTTAGATGCTGTTTGAACTCGCGAATGTAAACAATATACTCCAGACCGAATTTCGGTCGCTCTCTAATCCTTCACTCTCATAGTGCGATGGGGCGGTAACCGATACGACTGGAGAGATCAGGCGAAGGACCTACGGATTTACGTGCTTTTCGAGGCACAATGGTGAAACATCGCCGACTTTCTAACTCTGGGCTGCTACTGTGAATTTTTTGAAAAAAAAAAACCCAATGACTGATTTTGGCCCGACCCGGGGATTTGAACCCGGACCTCATGATCAACAACCGTATTTACGACTACTAGATCGATGAAGCAGTCAAAGCGCAAACGTATATAATTATCTTACAGAAATTTTGTATACTACTTTCTCTGTCGCACAAATGGGCACTGATTACGAATGAGTGAGCTCACTCATTTGAGAATGGACACATTTCGGAGTGGTCATACTATGGTAAGGGCGCATCTAACTATTTAAATCTTTGCGTCAAAATATGTAGACAGACACCTGGTGCAGATCGTTCAGCATCGATCATGAATCTTGCTAGCGTAGCGACAGCGACAAATATTTCCAACAGCTGAAACAGGCTCTTGCCTAGCTGTAGACTGGTTTAGGATTATATTTTTGGTTTTGTACGTTGTAACAAAAATATTCCTTTTTTGTTAACTTCCAGATTCGAGAAAGGCTGCTACATTCATTTTTCTCCAGGTCCGAGCCTACTCGGGCGGAAGGTGTTCTTGTATACCAATTACGTCGCTACCGACACCCGTGAGTACCAAATCGTAATAGACGAATTATATGTATAGTATATTATATTTAATTATATGTATAGTATATTATATTTAATTACAACAGAAGAACAACCATACAAATATATACTTCAGCCTTGCCCGACTTGTACATATATACGTGTTATATTTGGTACAAATATATACTGTGGCACAGCCTCGCGTGCGCCCGACTTGTACAAATATATAGTGACACAGCCTCGTCGCCCCGAGTTGTACAAATATATACTGTGGCACAGCCTCGCGTGCGCCCCGAGTTGTACAAATATATACTGTGGCACAGCCTCGCGTGCGCCCCGACTTGTACAAATATGTGGCACAGCCTCGCGTGCGCCCCGACTTGTACAAATATATACTGTGGCACAGCCTCGCGTGCGCCCCGACTTGTACAAATATACTGTCAGCCTCGCGTGCGCCCCGACTGTACAAATATATACTGTGGCACAGCCTCGCGTGCGCCCCTAGTTGTACAAAACGAAATGGCCTGTAATGTCACTGTGCAACAACAAAACAATTTTGTATTATTAATATTGTAGAATACAGAACAAGTGGAATTCGTTACCTATATAGTTATACATCCCTTTCTTCTATTGTGTGTAGAGGATGAGAAGTGCGAAGGAACGGATTTCATACGCAACCAGTACTACGGGCTGGAGTGGCGGCGCGGCGGGGACGACGAGGGAGAGACGGGGGTGGGCGAGGGGGCGGGCGGTGAGCTGCTGGGCAGCGGCCTGCTGATCACCGACACCGACGTGTACTGCGCGCTGCGCCTGGCGCGCGCTGGCAGCTTCCACTACTACTTCGTGTACGACAGCGCCGAGTCACATCTGGGTCCGCAGGTGCGGGGATCTAACGTAAACTTCAATATAATATGTATAAAAAATAACTTTAAATTGAAAGTGAAAACCGACTTCAAAGTAATAATAAAAAGAATAAAATAATTTCTAATTCTGAAGTCGGACGAAGAAGATGAACTGTAGAAAATGTCGCGACTAAAGCAGTAGACCGAATTTTATTGTGTTTTTATTGGACGTCATTAGAAAGGATGAATTACTTAGGAGCTACAAATTTTTAGAAAGAAGCAATTCCTAACTCCAAATGTCAAATATCAAAATGCTGGTGTATTGAGGAGGGGTTGAGTCTTGTTGATACCAGCATTTTTCTTGAAATCACACGTGAAGCTTCAATCGAGCCCCCACATATCAAAACGAACAAGCAGATTTCGTTCTGCAGCGTATGCTGTAAAATATTAGATATCTTATCTGTGTTCAAACAGCTAGACTGGTTTACTTTAGTTATTTTCATAGCTTAATGTCGTATGCTATATGTGCACACTAATGTCGTTGGCTATATGGGCACACGACTATACCATAAGAGCTATACAACATGTAACATAATTAACGCACTTTGAAAAAGTAGTTTGTTCAAAATCGTTTACTGAAACGATTCCTATCATTTTTAATATAGGTAATTTTTTATCCCAAAAATAATTAAAACTACGTAAATTACAGTCACACTAAATCTGTACAGTCAAAACAAACTGAAATGGACCGTAACTTAAGGCAATAAGACTTTTAAGAGTGCAGTTTTATTTGTATTATTACTAATTCTGTCATTCAATAAAAATTAAGAAAAATGAACTTTATTTCAAGCATGTTAAAGTCTTTGCGTTCGTGGATTTGTACTGTGACCTTCTTCCGGAATTAGTATAACTAATTTGATAAATAATCAGTGCATAAAAATGTTTAACTAAAAATTCAGTGTATGTATTATGATTATAACATAATATACTAATTGGGGTGTCTGAGGGTGTGCGTTAATTACATTACATATTGTATATGATTTAAAACCTAGTCTCTAAGACAAAAATCTAAGAAAATTAATATATTTACTTTGACCTATCAATACATTTATTACACAAAAATATAAGTAGTGTTAAAAATAGATGATATTCTTTCTGTAAATACTAGGAACAGACACAAGCTTGTAGTAGCACAGAATAAATAACAGTACTACGTACAGAAGTTGCATCCTTTGATGTTGACTGCTTGCCGACGTTTAATAGCATACTAAATAAAACTGTGTTGTAACCTATTATTTGAAAAAAAAAAATTAGTCCCGCTGGGTTTCTTGCTGGTTCTTCCCAGGACAGAGGTTGTTTTTGCGAACCAGTGGCAAATGAAAAAATTGACTTTCAATAAGTATTGTTTATAATCTACATTGAATTAAAAAAAAAATCTGTTTCTGTTTCTGTAGCTGCGCGCGAGTGTCCATATTACTTTGCATCTTTTCCCCTTCCTACGTCACGGCCGACTTTCCGCTGGTACTAAGGAATGTCAATAAAGAGTAAAAAAATACATTACGATATATAATGGGTAAAAGTTAAGTAGGTAAAGTACCTATTCTGACTATGATAGACTGACCATTTTTTCGCACCTTTGTGAGTATTGTGATGCCCAACGCATTCAACTTGTTAGGCTCAGTTAGGCCATTCGATGGGAATCGCCATGCTTGGTTCGGAAGAAATAGGTAAATGTGATCGTATTCTACTTAGTTAAAAATCTTGTTAGTAAACAAAGTTTTAATTTTAATATTTTGTGTTATTATAACTTAAAATATTTTAATAACAAAAGACTAGTATAGGTATGTAAGTATATCATAGAATACTATGTATTATAGTATTCTATGAAGTAGATACTTGGGTTGCGTATTTAGCAGGAATGGGAGATGTGATAAGGATATAGAACGACGAGTGAACACAGGAAATAGAGTAAATGGGGCCCTACACTCTATTGTGAAGAGTCAAAATGTGTCAAAAAAGGCACGTATAGCAATTCACAATGCTGTGTTGGTCCCCACTTTAACGTATGTTAGTGAAAGTTGGATGTGTCACTTCTGATCACCGACATTTATTCTACTCTCGCATAAATGCAGTAGAAATGCGGTCGTTAAGGAGTGTGTTAGGGCTGAATCTGAATGACAGGGTGAGAAATTGTGTGATAAGAGAAGAGTGTGGTTTGCAAGATGTTGTGACCAGGATTAAAAAAAGAATGCTTCGGTGGTTTGGTCATATGGAAAGAATGAATGAGGAAAGAGTAACAAAGAAAATGTATGTTGCAGAAGTGAATGGCAGAGTCGGAAATGGACGTCCTAGGTGAAAATTTATCGACCAAATTAGCGATTTATTAAAAACGGGCCAAAGGAGTACCTTTAACCGACGAGCATGTATGCGTAGGTGTATGAATGTGAAGGAGGCGAGAGAGGTGTGTCAGGATCGTGCCAAATGGAAGTCAGTAGTCTCTGCCTACCCCTCTGGGTGACAGGCGTGAGTGTTTTATGTTAGATACTTGGATAGTGAAGTAAATTTCAACTAATTTTTTCAATAGAGTACTTTGATATTACTTCTGTAGTTAAATAGTTACAAATTTTTTTTGTTATAAGTATGTGTATATAAGTATATGTATATAACAAACAAAGTAAGAAAAAATTCAACTTTCATAACATCCTAATAAACCCTTCGGTAATTTAAGTAATGATATACCTGAAACTTTTTGTTGGTCATTTCGTCCACGCAACAATTAATAATATGTAATTTTTTAATTACATTAAAACTTATTCAATATTATCACCTATTTTATTTATATTAAACGCTAAAACAAAAAACTATTTTAACAAGTATTTACGTAAAAAGCGTTAAAAACTAACATTCAATCGCCTACAACGCGCTAGCTGCATATACGGTTTGGACAGTATCGCGTTTGTAGGTGATTATTTCAGGCAGGTATAGCTGGAGTGACAGAGGCCTGGCAGTAGTACCAGTTACTTGACCACCCAGTCAGTAATCCATTCTTGGGGCGATGTATGCGCTTTGATAACAACAAGCTAGAAAATATTTAAAATTTCATTATAAATTCAAGCTTAAAAACGTTATTAAATAAATATTGTATAAAAAGGGTTTATTCTAATAAGGAATTTATGAAAGATTAACCCCAGGTATTGAGGTGGTCGCTACCAAGTTAATTCTAGTCATGTTTTATGTTTTTAATTATTGTGTAACACAATTGATTGTAAACATTTTTTTAAAAGCCCCACTGAGCATAAGAGTGATTTTCACTTAGTATAATTTATAATGTATATTGAATACATTATAAATTATAATTAATAAACAAAAGTAAAAATGTCTATATTTTAATTTCTATTTCTATTTAATACATTCGAAATATTTCGTGCATGCACCATTATGCGCTTAGCAGGCATGGTGGTGAGTTGGGCTACTCTCCAGATAAAATAGAATGTAATGGCTAAACTTATGCATCTGAGTTTTGATTCTTCATCGAAGATAAATATGCCTATGGGCCACAGTGTTCACTTACCATCGGTGGACAGTGTGCTCGTTTGTCTTTCTTATTAAATAAAGAAAACTACATGGCAGGGCTCGGGTTGGTTCCATGTGATCCCGACACTACGAGCGGGCGAACGCGTGCTGACGCCGGACGCGATCATGTGCCAAACCGTGCTGGCCAAGTGCCTGGGGCCGCTGTCGCGCTGGGAGCGTGCGCTGCGTCCCGCCCGCGAGGCGCGCTACAACATGCTGCACTTCACGCCCGTGCAGGTACGCTACACTCACCTGGTACACTCTGTGCCAGACCGTGCTGGCCAAGTGCCTGGGGCCGCTGTCGCGCTGGGAGCGTGCGCTGCGTCCCGCCCGCGAGGCGCGCTACAACATGCTGCACTTCACGCCCGTGCAGGTACGCTACACTCACCTGGTACACTCTGTGCCAGACCGTGCTGGCCAAGTGCCTGGGGCCGCTGTCGCGCTGGGAGCGTGCGCTGCGTCCCGCTCGCGAGGCGCGCTACAACATGCTGCACTTCACGCCCGTGCAGGTACGCTACACTCACCTGGTACACTCTGTGCCAGACCGTGCTGGCCAAGTGCCTGGGGCCGCTGTCGCGCTGGGAGCGTGCGCTGCGTCCCGCTTGCGAGACGCGCTACAACATGCTGCACTTCACGCCCGTGCAGGTACGCTACACTCACCTGGTACACTCTGTGCCAGACCGTGCTGGCCAAGTGCCTGGGGCCGCTGTCGCGCTGGGAGCGTGCGCTGCGTCCCGCCCGCGAGGCGCGCTACAACATGCTGCACTTCACGCCCGTGCAGGTACGCTACACTCACCTGGTACACTCTGTGCCAGACCGTGCTGGCCAAGTGCCTGGGGCCGCTGTCGCGCTGGGAGCGTGCGCTGCGTCCCGCTCGCGAGGCGCGCTACAACATGCTGCACTTCACGCCCGTGCAGGTACGCTACACTCACCTGGTACACTCGTGCCAGACCGTGCTGGCCAAGTGCCTGGGGCCGCTGTCGCGCTGGGAGCGTGCGCTGCGTCCCGCTCGCGAGGCGCGCTACAACATGCTGCACTTCACGCCCGTGCAGGTACGCTACACTCACCTGGTACACTCTGTGCCAGACCGTGCTGGCCAAGTGCCTGGGGCCGCTGTCGCGCTGGGAGCGTGCGCTGCGTCCCGCCCGCGAGGCGCGCTACAACATGCTGCACTTCACGCCCGTGCAGGTACGCTACACTCACCTGGTACACTCTGTGCCAGACCGTGCAGGCCATGTGTCTGGGGCCGCTGTCGCGCTGGGAGCGTGCGCTGCGTCCCGCCCGCGAGGCGCGCTACAACATGCTGCACTTCACGCCCGTGCAGGTACGCTACACTCACCTGGTACACTCTGTGCCAGACCATGCTGGCCAAGTGCCTGGGGCCGCTGTCGCGCTGGGAGCGTGCGCTGCGTCCCGCCCGCGAGGCGCGGTACAACTCGCTGCACTTCACGCCCGTGCAGGTACGCTACACTCACCTGGTACACTCTGTGCCAGACCGTTCTGGCCAAGTGCCTGGGGCCGCTGTCGCGCTGGCAGCGTGCGCTGCGTCCCGCCCGCGAGGCGCGCTACAACTTGCTGCACTTCACGCCCATGCAGGTACGCTACACTCACCTGGTACACTTTGTGCCAGACCGTGCTGGCCAAGTGCCTGGGGCCGCTGTCGCGCTGGGAGCGTGCGCTGGGTCCCGCCCGCGAGGCGCGCTACAACATGCTGCACTTCACGCCCGTGCAGGTACGCTAAACTCACCTGGTACACTCTGTGCCAGACTGTGCTGGCCAAGTGCCTGGGGCCGCTGTCGCGCTGGGAGCGTGCGCTGCGTTCCGCCCGCGAGGCGCGCTACAACATGCTGCACTACACGCCCGTGCAGGTACGCTACACTCACCTGGTACACTCTGTGCCAGACCGTGCAGGCCAAGTGCCTGGGGCCGCTGTCGCGCTGGGAGCGTGCGCTGCGTCCCGCCCGCGAGGCGCGCTACAACTTGCTGCACTTCACGCCCGTGCAGGTACGCTAAACTCACCTGGTACACTCTGTGCCAGACCGTGCTGGCCAAGTGCCTGGGGCCGCTGTCGCGCTGGGAGCGTGCGCTGCGTTCCGCCCGCGAGGCGCGCTACAACATGCTGCACTACACGCCCGTGCAGGTACGCTACACTCACCTGGTACACTCTGTGCCAGACCATGCTGGCCAAGTGCCTGGGGCCGCTGTCGCGCTGGGAGCGTGCGCTGCGTCCCGCCCGCGAGGCGCGCTACAACTTGCTGAACTTCACGCCCGTGCAGGTACGCTACACTCACCGGGTACACTCTGTGCCAGACCGTGCTGGCCAAGTGCCTGGGGCCGCTGTCGCGCTGGGAGCGTGCGCTGCGTCCCGCCCGCGAGGCGTGCTACAACAAGCTGCACTTCACGCCCGTGCAGGTACGCTACACTCACCTGGTACACTGTGCCAGACCGTGCTGGCCAAGTGCCTGGGGCCGCTGTCGCGCTGGGAGCGTGCGCTGCGTCCCGCTCGCGAGGCGCGCTACAACATGCTGCACTTCACGCCCGTGCAGGTACGCTACACTCACCTGGTACACTGTGCCAGACCGTGCTGGCCAAGTGCCTGGGGCCGCTGTCGCGCTGGGAGCGTGCGCTGCGTCCCGCTCGCGAGGCGCGCTACAACATGCTGCACTTCACGCCCGTGCAGGTACGCTACACTCACCTGGTACACTGTGCCAGACCGTGCTGGCCAAGTGCCTGGGGCCGCTGTCGCGCTGGGAGCGTGCGCTGCGTCCCGCTCGCGAGGCGCGCTACAACATGCTGCACTTCACGCCCGTGCAGGTACGCTACACTCACCTGGTACACTCTGTGCCAGACCGTGCTGGCCAAGTGCCTGGGGCCGCTGTCGCGCTGGGAGCGTGCGCTGCGTCCCGCCCGCGAGGCGCGCTACAACTTGCTGCACTTCACGCCCGTGCAGGTACGCTACACTCACCTGGTACACTCTGTGCCAGACCGTTCTGGCCAAGTGCCTGGGGCCGCTGTCGCGCTGGCAGCGTGCGCTGCGTTCCGCCCGCGAGGCGCGCTACAACATGCTGCACTTCACGCCCGTGCAGGTACGGTACACTCACCTGGTACACTTTGTGCCAGACCGTGCTGGCCAAGTGCCTGGGGCCGCTGTCGCGCTCGGAGCGTGCGCTGCGTCCCGCCCGCGAGGCGCGCTACAACATGCTGCACTTCACGCCCGTGCAGGTACGCTACACTCACCTGGTACACTCTGTGCCAGACCGTGCTAGAGTCTAGTAAAAAATACGGACAAATTGAGAATCTCCTCCTTTTTTGAAGTCGGGTGAAAACGCGCCTCACTGTTTGTATACCTATATCGCTACAAAGCAGATTAATTGAATTGTTCTTTGATAATTAATACTGCATTTACCCAAACAAACATATGGTAGGTTGTTTTTGTGGATCTATACTATACGCAAGTTATAAGAAAAAGCGCTTCCGAAATAATTCCATGTGCGTTGGCGTAATGTTTAGTGATACGTAAATATAATACTTTACATAAATATAGATCTTTATCTGCTTCAAATACATAAGTCACAATGAGGTAATTTGTGACGAAAAATCATTGAAAATTAACCCTTCAATCCCCATAAAAATCAAATGCCTGCCCTGAGTGGGTGCGGTCGCATGCGCCCGGCAAATCCCGAGCGGTCGCATGCGACCGCACCCACTCAAAGCACTTTAAACCATTAAAACTTATATTTAGAGACTACTTTTCATGAACAAGTTTGGCATTATGAAATCTATACAAAACTTTATGTTGTGGTATAAACAAAGTCAGTTTACTTCACTAAAAAGATTTTATTTTATTTTTATTCTTATAAAAAATTTCTTGTTGGTAGATTATAAATAAATATCTTTTTCATAGAAAAGTAGTATCTCAAAATTCAAGCGATCATATTTGACCGCTTGAATTTTGACGGAATTTTCACCCTAAGGTTGATTTCGTAGGGTGGATAAACGGAATACGGCCAGTGCTTGACTATTCCATCCGATGATAAGTGGCGATGTCGCTAAAGATGTTAATAAGTTGCTTGGTACCCACAGGAGCTGGGCGCATCCAACTCAAGCTACAGTATCGCGAACCAACTACGCCTGAACCCACGCTTCAGTGATGACGAATCGCGTGAAGCCACATTCGCGGACGTCGAGAACTTCGTGGCCAAAATACGGAACGAATGGAACGTACGTACTCTCTTTATTTTATGTTATGTGTTGCGTCGAAAACAAAATGTTTTACAGATCGAAGAGATTTCTTAACACGTTAATAAGTAACAAGCTTAAAGGTTAAAATAGTATTTAAAAGAAACCCGACTGCGTAAAAAAGTTTACTGGAAACAGATTTTTTTATAGCTACGTCACTTCCACAACTTAGACGAAGCTAACGACAGCTCATATGTTAAAATCTATCAAGCTCATATATCTCATATATCTCAGCATACATACATACTCTCATACATACATTACATACTCTCTAAAATATAACTCTACTTTTGGGGTAGTCGGGAAATCTATTTGATACATTTTTCATTATTTATGAACCTTAGTGTTGAAATAAGTACACATAAATATTTTAATTGTTTCGCAGTAATTGATTGTTAACCGATAATCGATTATATCTACTCTAACGGTAGCATAGTGGTATAAATAAATAAATAATACGGTTGCAACCTGTTTTAATAAATAAAATAACCAACTGTAACTAATATTTTTTAATCGATACTTACAGTCATTTACCATATTTTTATTATAAAAACTTTTGCCGCTACGACAGTGACCGAGCTTATCTCGAGTCAATAATTTCAGGCAGTACACACTTTTTATAAAACGCTTGTAACTTGGGTAATATATTTAAAATCCAACATTTGTCGTCTTTGTAGATTTTTAGTACTCTTACTGCATAATCTGGACCAGTCCATATGGCAAGCATGCAGGCATTTTTATTCTCCATATAGGGTATTTCTTTTTTTACGTTTAGTGACACATTGATACTTGTATTTATTTTTCCCTACTCCGTATCGAAATAACTATAATGAATTAACTATCTGGTATAATAATAGTGTGCGAACTTTGTACTTATTGGAATACTGTACGAAAGCAAATACTTCCAACGATCAAAAACTGCAATCGTAGTTGAGTTCCATTTCGGAACATAGGCCAAAATAGCGGCGCCTAGGTCCAACCTCTATAGCGCTCGCACGGTATTGAATGCTGCGGTAAGATGGCCGGCGCAGTGAAATATATGGTAGTTTTATTTAAATAATTAAAAAATAACAGTAACGATTTAAAAAGTAAAAATCTTAGTATAGTTTAGGCAAATGTTGATGATTATTTTGGTCAAAATGACGTGGGACTTTAGAGATATTGGGGCTTGAATTGAAGCTTTTTCGGTCGTTAATTGAATTATGTCGATTTTTTTCTTTACATTAAAGTATAGAATATTTGTAAGATAAAAATATTTTTTGATGGTCGATATTCAATATAATCTACAAATTAGAGCTCCCAAATCATGTCTCTCAGAGTTTTGGCCTAAATATGCACCGGGAGAATGATTATTATTAAATAAATAAATAAGTTGTTCGGGGTAGTACCGACACGAGGGGATGATAAACTGATAACGCTTGATAAGTTTGATGAAATATATTGTGGACAAGTATACAAATTAAAAGGCTAGGACTACTGATAATGAGTACGCGTAGCGCTCTTGTGGCTATCGGCGAACTGATTTTAAAATACCTGTGCCGCGGAAATATGTAAAAGAGGCCAAGTTGTGAAATGATGACTTAACAATTGTACGTTGCATTACATGCTCGTACATAAGTTATCTAAAACTTGAGTTTTCGAGCTTATTGTTGTAGATAAAACGACCTATTTTTACCAGGTAATTTTTATTTCAAGAAATGAACGGAAAACATATAATTTCAACGAAGAAACCTTGTAATTTCGCTCTTTTTCCTCTTAATATATAAAGACGACTCCGTGGCGCAATGGCTTAGCAATGAGTGGCTGCGCTTGGGGGTCGCGGGTTCGAATCCCGCACGGAACAAATATTTGTAAGGCTTACAAATAATTGTTCCGGGTCTGGATGTTTGTCCTTGTGCAATTTATGTTTGTAAACTGCCTCCACGATACTGGAGAAAATCCTAGAGTAGGGGTAACGTTTTTTAAAAAAGAAATAAAATAAATAAAGAAATAATACGAAGGCGAGTGTGGCGGGAACAACGGAAAAAAAGACATTTAAGTGGACAGTTTTGGTGATTTCATACTATTATTTTTTAGTATTAAATGGAAATATTTTTTGTAATTTAGGCTTTGTGTTGCACTACCAGACTATATATTCCATTATAATCACGCTTAAAATAATGTGTATTTTAGCTTCTAGTAATGGTTGTATTCGACCTGAAAGATAACTATGACGCATATTTTCGTGAAACGCTATAGAGGGATTGTTTACGATCTAAAAACCGTCATTAAAAATTATAATATTGGTTTGTAATACTTGTTTAATGCACTAAACAAAGACTTTATCTTTCGAAAGCCGTAATTTTCTGCAAATAATCTGCTCACATCGTTACGATATCGCCCTTGAAAAAACCTCTTAAATCTCTTATACTTATATATTAGAAGATCACCAGCCTAGCAACCTCGACGGAAACCGTACTGGCGGTCACTAATCAGCTGGTGATCTACAAGGTACCGCATGAGCTGGCTGTTAATAATGGATTACATTATTTTAGAGAACAAAGAGGTGATGGCGATAGGCCTATAGTTGAACGGATCAGAGCGGTACGGCGGGTGCACGAGGGCTGTCTTCCATGATTTCGGGACTACACCGAAGGAGTAGGAGCACCGGAAAAGACGCGTTAAAACGGGTGCCAACTTCGGAACACACGTCTTTAGCACAATAGGAGGGACGCCATCCGGCCCACTCGACTTGTTGACGTCCAGGGAGAGGAGTGCTCTGCGCACTATGCGTTGGTTAAACAGGACATCCTGCATGGAGTACTCACTCCGCGTAATGGTCGGTGGTGTGTTCCCCCGTCATCAAGAGTCGAGTTGAACGCAAAGAGAGAGCCCAGCAAATCGGTTTTGTCCTTTGCGGCATGGGCCAGTGAGTCGTCCTCCCTGTGCAGAGATGGGAGAGATGGCTGTCAGAAGTTCCCTTAGACAGCCTTGGCGAGAGACCAGAATTCACGTGTTCCCGAAGGAAGACGAACTAGTTTCTCGCCAATTCTGCCGATGTGCTCTGACTTTGCCTTGACAATGACACTTTTGTAGGACTTGGAGGCGGAATTGTACTTAGTTTTAAGGGCGCTGGTGTTTGGGTCCCGAGAGGTCGATGCGCGAGCACAGGCCTGGTAGCACTCCTGCTTATGACGTAGTGCAACTTTGCAGGAGCGACCAAACCAAGGCTGGGTTCTGCCTTCGATAGGTACCACAGATGATGGAATAAAAAGTTCCCTGTAGCACCACATCAGCGACAGAATCAGCAACAACTCTTGGATCATCCGTAACAACGTAGGATGCAAAAAAGATCGCATCCCATCTCAGTCTACTGACCTATAATGCCAAACACGGCGGCAACCTGCAGTACGCGACCGCGATGAGTGCGTGAGTGGCACCGTACTCCGGATCAGACAATGGCCAGAAGAGCCAAAAGGAGCATAGACGGAGACCTGATATCCGTCCGGATGAGAGGTCAGCAGAAGGTCCAACAGGGAAAGCACATGATCTTCCACATCTGGGATCCGCGTAGGCGAGGTAACCAGTTGTGTCAGACCATATTCTAAAGCAAAGTCATAAACAGATCTACCCGCATGATCGGTTAAACGAGAACCAAGCCATTCAGCGTGGTGGGCGTTAAAATCTCCAAGTATCACGATTTCTGCGGATGGGATCTGCTGTAGCTCGGCGTCTGTAGCCATCTGGACGTGGTCGATGAGGCGGTCTGTTTCGGAATTACCGCTATGGGACCTATAGAGGCACCCGTAGTCGCGTGTATGGTCATACGAGCAGCCATAAGATGGACAGGTTCGTACCTTCAAGGTTGCCGAGGCGTCGGAAACAGATGTCCTCTCTGACATACACGCAAACCCCAGCCCGGGCTACAAAAGAGTTCTAATTTGTACCCCGGGTAGGAGAGATACGAAACATCAGCCGGAGAGGACACCTGTGTCTCGGTTAGAAAGGGCAAGGCCGGCTTCGCCGTTTCCAGATGGTAGTGGACGGTGTTAAGGTTTGAATGAAGTCCCCTGATGTTGCAGAAACTCACGGATAGCGTGGCTAGGGGCGCCTTTGACTTATTGCTCCGTTTGCCCCGAGCGGGTAAGTTATAGTCAACCAAATCTAAGAAATACCTTTTGACGTTTCACATTAATCATTCCGCAATAACTTTCCATAAGCGTACTCACACGATTTAAAATAAACTTTTATGTAAATCCGAATAATTATGAGGTTGTCTATATTTCATTACAACGTGCATAGTTTTTTTATCACTAATTTAAATTTGAATTTTTCAAACAAAGCAAAATATTAAAAAATAACCAGTATTAACTTTTTTACTTGACGTCGTTTCAATGACATGTCGATATCTATATTACCGTAGTGTTTGGGTGATTAAAATTCATTGTTATGCGAATAATCGGCAAAATAATTAAATAATCGTTAAAAATATTCTAATAATCGAATCATTAGTTTATTAAATTTATTATTTGTTTAATTTAATTTTTATTTTCAAAATTCCTTAAATTACATAAACCATGAATAAAACAAGTTTATTTTTTTCACTTTGTCAAAGTAAATTTTTGTAGGCAAAAAACTCACGTACAAGGCCGTGCTAAAATAACTACATAATTTCAATATCCCGCCATTTCGATACCAGTTATTCGACTCCACCGAATCAGTAATTCATCTCATTAAATAAGAGCGCACATGAGACGTGAGCTCTTGCACGTGAGAGTGTAGCTCGCAAGGCAATAACGGGAAAAAGAACTTTATTTGTTATAACTTAAGGTTGATTTCACACTAAATGTTATTTAATTCATGTCTTTTCATAGTTTATATTCATGCAGACAGTATTTAGCTATGATTTTGTACGTGACCCGTTAACTAGTTGGTATTGTTGATCGAAGTTCCCAGGACAGAGGTATTTTTTGCGAACCAGTGGTAAATGAAAAAAGTGACTT